GTCTGCCTTCGGCTCAGGTCATGATCCCAGGGTCCTGGGATCGAGTCCCACATCGGGCTCCCTGCTCAGCAGGAAGCCTGCTTCTCCCTCTCCCATTCCCCCTGCTTGTGTTCCTGCTCTCGCTCTCTCTCTCTGTGAAATAAATAAATAAAATCTTAAAAAAAAAGTATTTTTAGTCCCGTGCAATATTTAGGACATATTAATACTAAACAAGTACTCATTGCTTTTCTGAAATTCACATTTAACTGGGCAACCTGTTTTTGCCAAATCTAATACTCCTACCCCCATATCAATCTTCCTTGGGTAATGAGGATTCTCCATTGCTCCTTCATGGTGCTTATGAAACAGTAGTAAAACCCTTGAGTGACCTCAGTCCCCTCTGGCTTGCTGAACTGGGTTCTTTTAACAAGTTCATCCACTGTCTGAGTAGCAACAACATTACTGCGGTAAAACCTCACAGGAAGGTGTGGCTTTTCCCATCTGCTCTCACCTGTGAGTAGGTTTTGAGCCCCGTGTTGAAATGGAAACACTGAGTGGGTGGAGGTCATTTGCTGAGGATCCACAGCATAAGGCAGGAGCTAGGCTGTCATGAACCCAGGTCTCTTTCCCCTGAGCATCCCCTGTGTGAGACTGGGCTGGTCAGGGCTTGGTGTGAGAGAGAGGTACAGTCTCTCCTGATGGGATCCAGAACACGCTACCCCCAAATATGGCACGTTGGCATATTGAATATCTTAAGCTTGAAGGAGTTGAAGAAAATGGTAGAAGCAGGAAGGTTACTCTGACCTTCCCCCACCCTTCTTCCCCGAAAGCAGGAAATATGTCTCCCACCTGAAAAGTACCCTCCCTGTACCTGGAGGGAGACCTCCTTCTCACCAGACAGAGGGAATTTAGGGCCGAGAAGGCTGTATAAACAAACCTTGTTACTTCTTCACCTTTTACTCCCCTAGCCCAAACCCTTCTGCCTTGTCGGTTCTTCATAAATTTAGTGTCAAAAAGGTATAAAAGCTTCCTGCTCTGGTCACTGCTTTGGGTCTTCATTCCCTTGCGAAAGCTCTCATGGACATGTAACCATTTAATAAAATGTGCACACTTTTCTCCTGTTCATCTGTGTTTGTTGGCCTCATTTTCAGACCCAGCCAGGGACCCTAAGCGAGTTAAGGAAGACGTTACCCCTCCTTTATTCCCCACCCCAAGATTCTGCCCACCCTTCTCTGTACTCTACACATACCTTGACCTCTTTCTCCAGATAGTCACACAGCAGAATCTGAGGGTCGATGAGGTAGTCAGGGGGGAAAAGGGGCATTGAGTGCAGGGGCCGGCGACTCACACTGGTCCGAAAGGCAGCCCGGCGCCCAGCCTTGGGGAACACCAGCCTCCGGATGGGGGATACAAAGCCCTGGGTGGGGGGGAGGCAGGGAGATGTGGGGGGAAACAACAGTAACAACAGCAACTGGCTTTATCAAGCATTTCTGCATTCAGCATTTTACTTACTTACATAGTACCTAATTTAATTCTCATAGACTCTGCAGAAGGGGTACCTCTGTGATCCCCATTTTACAGATGGAGAAACTAAGCCTCAGAGAGGTTCCCTCTCTTGCTGTGTCTCTCTCTGTCAAATAATTAAGATCCTTAAAAATAAAATAAAATAAACACCTAGGTGAGGGCGGAGGGCGTGCTAAGGCCCAGGCCCAGGCCCAGGCCCAGACTGAAGGAGTGGGTCTAGGCTGGGGCAAGTAAGAAAAATATTAAGATTCAATGTCGCTGAGTGGTGAGTGCACAGGTATTTGTCACACTATTCTCTGTGCTTTCCCCCCAATTTGAAATGGCTAGTAAGTACGTTTAAGGAGAATCCAGCAGACACCTGCACAAAAAATGGCCTACAGCAAGATTCAAGAAGTCAGTTCTAGGCTCCAACGCAGCCTAACAGAATCTAAATCTCACAGGAAAGTGTGAGCACCACTTTAGAGCAGTTCTCAGTGAGTATGGTTCCTGGGTCAGCAGCGGCAGCACTGAGGAACTTAAGAGAAATGCACACTCTCCCATTCCATCCTAGATCTACTGGATCAGAGCTTGGGGGTGAGACCCAATGATCTATGTTTTAACAAGCACTCCAGGTGATTCTGATACAGGCCCAGCTCATATTTTAAAACCAGTATCTTGGAGCCTAGATGAAGTATCTGGAAGCTCTGAGAAATGAGAACAAATGATCTGGGAAAGGGTGTTCCAGGCAGGTTTGCATGGTACATGCAAACCCCTGGGGCTGGCTGAGCATGAGCCTGGGGAAGATGCACGTGGTCTATTGCAGCTGAATGATGAGATGAATGAGCCATAGAGGGCCTGAATGCCAGCTATGGAGCTGGGACTTGATTCTGTGTATGTGAGTGTGTGTGTATGTATGGAGTGGAGAGGTAAATGTTTTGTCTGTGGCCTTTAATGGTCCAGCCCTGCCCACCTCTCCAGCCTCATTTTACGCACACCCCCACCCCCACCCCCACCCCCGCCGCCCCTCACTCCTGCCCTCTAGCTACAGGGCCATCTTTCCAGTCCTCCCTACTTGCTCTGTTCCTTCCTACTGCAGAGCTTTTGCACATGCTGTTCCTCTGCCTGAAATTCTCTTCCCTACCCCCTTTTCTTTCACCTATCAGATCTCAGCTCAAACTGACCAGTCTAGGGTTGGGTCCCCCTAATATTCTATATCCCAGCACTGTGTATGGAGTCTCTTATGCAATTTTATATTCACTGCTTTTTTTAAAAAAAATTAAAAGTTGTTTTCCCCACTAGACTGTGAGCTCCAGGGAGGGAGCAGAGACCTTGTCTGACTTTGCTCACCACTATATATCATCCCCAGTACCAGGCACCATGCTTGGCACATAATAAGGGTTCAGTAAATATCTAGAGAAGGGATAAACCCAGAGAGAAGCAGCACTATGTCTTGACTCCCTTCTGAGCCCTCATGATTCACATGGGAGCCCTTTAGACCAGCCTGACCTCAGTTTCTTGAAGGAAGAGAGCTGGGTGGTGGTGGGAGTTGGAATCTGAGGGACCCCCTGAATGGCAAAGACAACCAGGTGAGGTGCCCAAGGAACCAGACTAGAAAACTGACAGTAAGGAGGGGTGAGGATCTATGGGGTGAGGGGGATGACCCTCAGGCTGAGGCCTTCGGAGCAGAGCTGTTCTGGCATAAAGATGGGGAGGGGGCAGGCTAGGCTGGAACCCAGCAGGGGAGCAGGTAAGTGTCTCAACCTGGATAAGGCAGCCTTATAGCACAGACTGGCCCTGGCTGAGCTCCTTCTGTCTGGGGAGATAAGGAGCAGAGGAATGGGTCTGTTCTGTGTTTGTCTCTCGGTCTGAGGAGCCCCCAGGAAAGCCATGGAAGCAGGTTGGGAGTATCTCCCAAAACAATCTGTCTGGCTGGGTTTCCCTGGAAGGTGCCTGTCTGTCTGTCTATTCATTCCAGGGATGGCAGACGCCGCTTGAGAGTGGGGAGTTAGGTTAGGGAGCTTGAGTCCAAATGTCTGACTGCCCAAGGGTGGGAAGGACAGTCTTTTCTGATGAGAAGAAAGACTCTACCCATGCTACTCACTGTCCCTCACCCCCACCCCAGGCCTCCCACTTTACCAGCTCCACAGACATTTCTTTCCCCTGCATCCCTCCCAACCTCCCACCTACCTTTTTCCCTTTCTTGACTTCATATTCCATGGTGAAGCGTCTCCTCCACTCTTGCCACCCTCCTGACCATCTCCTCCACCCTCTCCCCGCCACGCAGTTCCTTTGTTCTTTTTCCTGCCTGGTCGGAAACTCCACCAGCCCCGGAGTTCCTGCCCCTCCCGTCTGATAGTGAGCAGAGGTGGGGGGCCGGAGACGAGTGGAGGATGCAGGCTTGGGCCCCTCCAACTGAAGAGTGGAAGGAAACCCAGCCAGAACAACCTACCCGGGGAGAAGGCCTCAAGCCTCCCTCCAGAAGGCTTGCTGTTGAGGGGGCTTGGGAACCGAGTAAGGCTGGGGAAGGGCCTCCCAGTTTGGAGTCTGAGAATCCCAAATTCCAACCCTACTTCTGCCACTGACCTTGTTGTGTGACCTTGGCAAGGCAAGTCATTCCCTCTTGTACAGCCTCGGTTGCCCCCTCCTCTCTATGAAGTAGGAATAAACATCGCCTCCCTGCCTGGCTGCTGTGGTGAGAAATAAATGCAAGAGTGGATAGGAAAATGCTTCCTAAACTATAGAATATTGTGTCCAAACAAGTTATGATTTTAAAAAATTAATCATTACCATTAAGGGAGGCAGTATTCATGGGGTTCGAGGATAGGCTGCCTGAGTTTGAATCCTGATTTTTTCACTTACTAGGGTGATGACCTTGGGCAAGTCCCTTACCCACTTGTTTCCCCATCTATAAAATGGGCATAATAGCAGTCTGACCTCATGGTGACCTTGTGAGGATTAAATGCACTTAGAAGAGCTCCTGACACATATGAAATGCTCAGTAAATGTTAACTATTTACCTATCCATGTGTCTGTGTGTCCTGGGCTGTTTTACTGTCTCTTGGGAGAATATTAGTGAGGCGAGTTTCCCTTTGTGATTCTGTGCTGAGCACTTTACATATTTCATCTCTCTCATTCCTTACAATATTGGGGTATCATTATACCTATTATACAGATCAAAAAATCAGGCTCAACTGCAGAGGCTGACCCAAAAAAAGTCATCAAGTTTATAAGAGGAGGACCTGGGATTTCTGGCCAGTCTGGATCTGAAGCCTAGTTCCTTACCTCTAGGGCCAGCGTGCTCAGCGTGTCCCACCCGGGACAGTTGGGAAGGTGTCGATTGACCCATCCACACCTTGCCGTGACACCTGGGTTCTGGAAGCCCTAGTTCTGGAACTGATTTGCTATATGATCTAGGGCAGTTTGCTTATTTTAACGTTTCTGGGCCTCAGCTTCCTCATCTTTCCAATGGGAACAATGATTCCAAATGCCCTGCCCTGTAGTCAGAGGTGTGGTGAGAAAGACATCGGACTATGTATGAGAAAGCAGTCAGGAATTGTGAAGTGCAGGAGCTGATGCACTGGATGGTCTTGAAAGTTTCTTCTGAAAGCACAGGTGTGCAGAAAGAAAGAGAAAGAAAGAAAGAAAGAAAGAAAGAAAGAAAGAAAGAAAGAAAGAAAAAAAAAAGAAAAAGAAAGGAAGAAAGAAAGAAAAAAAGAGAAAGAAAGGAAGAAAGAAAGAGGAAGAAAGAATGAAAGAAAGAAAGAAAGAAAAAGAAAGGAAGAAAGAAAGAAAAGAAAAAGAAAGGAAGAAAGAAAAAGAAAGGAAGAAAGGAAGGAAGGGAGAGAAAGCAGGCACAAGTGTGCCAGGTCAGTGCCCATTGGAGTGAGAGAGAGCTCCCCACTGCCTCTGGGTGTGGGGGCCTCCGGAGCCTCCAACCACTCGCCTTCCCCCCCCTCCGGGGGAGGGGAAATGGTCCAGGCTGCTTAGGGTAGCTCACAGAGCCCCTCCCTCCTGCTCCCCTGTACCGGGCTGGCTGTCCCAGCAGCAGGAAGTGAGATCTCCACCAGCATGCCAAGCCAACAGGAAGAGGCCAGGATGTGCAACCTAATCCCTGACTGCTCCAGACAGCAAAACGCCCACTTAACTCCTTGAGCAAGTGCCAAGTTCCTCAGTTTCCCTATCTGTAAAAGGAGGACTTCTGTTATTCCTGAACTAACTCCAAGTATCACTGAACTGCTGGGAATATCAAATAGGACAAGAAGCATTCAGAATGCTGCTAGGAAGAGCAAACTCTCTTTGCATAACCTGCAGTGCCCACCCCAGGGCCACGAACAGGTCAAGTGCTTAGTAAATGTCAGTGGAAGTAGGTGGAGACAGGTGGACATGGGTTCAAATGTGTATGACCTTGAACAGGTGATTTCTCAGAGCCCCAGAGTCTCATGTGTCAAAAGCAAAATAATGATGATGCTTGCCTCATAAGGCTGCTGCAGGGATTACATAGGAATAGAAGCATATACAATGGTAACATCGATGATTAAAATTGGCTTGTGAGGATAAAGAAGAAGTTGTATATATGTATGTATATACAAACTTATACACACACACATACACACACACACACACAATGGAATATTACTCAGCCATAAAAATGAACAAAAACTTGTCATTTGCAACAATGTGGGTGGAACTAGAGGTATTATGCTAAGTGAAATAAGTCAGTCAGAGAAAGACAAATACCACATGATTCCACTCATATGTGGAATTTAAGAAACAAATGAGATGAACATAGGGGAAAGAAAAAAAGGAGGGAGGCAAACCATAAGAGACTCTTATTTATTTATTTGAGAGAGAGAGAGCGTGTGCTCGCACTCATACATGTGTTGGGGGAGGGGCAGAGGGGGAGGGAGAGAATCCCAAGCAGACTCCCCACTGAGTGCGGAGCCAGACAAGGGCCTCAATCCCACAACCCACAACCCTGAGACCATGACCTGAGCTGAAATCAGAGTCAGATGCTTAACTGACTGAGCCAGCCAGGCACCCCAAGAGACTCTTAACTATAGAGAAAAAACTGAGGGTTGCTGGAGGGGAAGTGGGGGGATGGGAGGGCACTTGTGATGAGCACTGGGTATTATATGTAAGTGATGAATCACTAAATTCTACTCCTGACACTAATGTTACATTATATGTTAACTAACTAGAATTTAAATAAAAACTTGAAACATTAAAAAAAAATTAGGGAGGGTGCCTGGGTGGCTTGTTAAGCGTCTGCCTTTGGCTCAGGTCATGATCCCAGGGTCCTGGGATCGAGCCCCGCATTGGACTCCCTGCTCAGCGGGGAGCCTGCTTCTCCCTCTCCCACTCTGCCTGCTTGTGTTCCCTCTCTCGCTGTGTCTCTCTCTGTCAAAGAAATAAATAAAATCTTAAAAAAATAAAATAAAATAAAAAATAAAAAAAATTAGGGGCACCCGGCTGTCTCAGTCAGTGGGATGTGTGACTCTTGATCTCGAGGCTGTGGGTTCGAGCCCTACATTGGATGTGGAAATTATTAAAAATAAAATCTTAAAAAAAAATAACTTGTGAATTGAAAAAGAGGAGTAAAACAAAGTCCTTGCTCTCAAAGACTTAACAGTTGTGGCAAATAGGATTCATCTCTTTTGAGACACCTCCAGCGGGTTGGCAGGGGCTGCCTTGAGCTCTGTGTAGAAGACTATAAAACCAGATCTACTCAGCATGAAGAAGGGATTGATTATCAGTGCCTGCCATGGGACAGGAAGTGGGAATGTGGCAGCAGGTGTACAGCGCATATGTTGACCCTGATCTGGCTGGAGAGAAAGACACATAAGCAAAAACTCCGAGACAGGCCAAGCAACTTGTTTGGGGAAGGCAGAATCAGGAGCCATTCCACCAAGCCCCGTTATATTCAAGCCAAGCCTTGAAGGACATAGGGAAGGAAGGTCACTCTAGACAGAGGAAATAGCTTGAGCAAACACACTGAGCCTGGGTTGTGATGCTTTTGGCTGCAGAGAATAGGCTGCCCAATCAAAGGGCTTTGACAATAAGGAAAATATATTACCTCTCAAGTCCAAAGGCATGTGATTTCAGGGCTGGCTAATTGAGCAGCCCAAAATGGCATCAGGTTCCATACATTTTCGACTGTGCTGCCATTATGGGCTGAATTATGTCTCCCACAGAGAGATACCATTGGTACGCGCGCGCGCGCACACACACACACACACACACACACACACACACACGGAGGAAAGACCACACAAGGACAGAGCGAGAAGGCAGCCGTCTACAAGTGAACGAGAGAGGCCTCAGGAGAAACCAACCCTGCCGACACCTTGATCTCAGCTTCTCGCCCCCAGAACTGTGAGAAAATACATTTCTGTTGTTTAAGTCCCCCAGGCTGTGGTATTTTGTTATGGGGGCCCTAACAAACTCATACAGTTGGCCAGATGGCTGCAGTGGTTTTTGGAGTGATACAGACATGATGTCATTCATCATTATCCTGCTTTTGATGTCATCCGCCCTTGATGAGGCTGAAGATTTTCCCCTTCCTGTGTGTCTTTTTATTGTGCACCTGTCCCACAGATGCTTCAGAAAACTTCCCTTAGGAGTCTAGGAGCCAGATGTATTAGCCAGGATGTATTTTGGCTGCAACAAAGACACAAATAACATTGGCTCAAACATAATAGAAGTTTCTCTCTTCTATCACCTAAGCAGTTCAGGGCAGCACACCTGGGACTGCTGGGTCCGGGAACCAGGGGCTTCCTATCTTACTGCTAGGCCATATTGGGATTTTGTTCTCACCTTCAACACAGCTGCGGTCCAGCCAATAGGAAGGGTAAACCCAGCCGGGGAGAGCACAACGCCTCCCTTTAAAGGGATGACCCGTTACTAGTACAAAATTCTACTGCTCAATCCCACTGACTAGAACTTGTTTCCTTGGCCACAGCTAACTGCAAAGGAGGCTGGGAAATGTGGTCTTCTATTCTGGGGGGCCACCGGGCCCAACTAAAACTTCCTTTATAGACAAAAGAGAGCATGGATACTGGGGAACACATAGCAGTCTCTGCCTCACAGAATTGAGTCATATGCCCCTGCCCCCACCAATCCTAGGTCAGGGGAATGATCTTGGACCAGTGGTTCTCAAACTTGAGTGAGCATCAGAATCACTTGAAAGACTTGTAAAAAGATGCTGCTCTCCACCCAACCCCACAGGTGGCTAATCAGGTGGGTCTGGACGGAGCCTGAGAA